TCTTTTTTACACTCTAATGTCATTAGCAGTGATTCATGTCATTTTCCCATCATTTTCAATGAGATATTAAACTTCATTTTTTACAGTTGTTACAGCACAATGCGTAAGCTGACATTCCTGACCCATTAATTTTCCAGCAAATGCAGCAAACTGCTTCTCAAAACACAAATGCATGAATATACTTATGCACTGACTCTGTCACTCCCTCTCTCTCTTTCTCTCTAATATTGCAATGCTGTGGTCATCATGCCTAGTTGGGTACTGTTCATCCACACGGCTCCACCAATGGTCTTATGGCACGTGCAATGATATGCATATGCACAAATGCAGCCTAGATGCAAAAATACACCCCAAAGATGCAAAACAGTGGTGCCATCAGCTGAACAATGTTCACACTTCATGCTCTGATGCTGCCCCCAACACTCTCCAGTTACAGTACTGTTGCATAAAACATTAGCAGTATTAATAAAGACTGAAATCCAATACTGTATGTTTCCTTATGACCACTCTGTCCAGGGCTAGGAAGTATGTAGGTAAGTGACCTCTGTTCTGACTGTCCACTTAGTATTGTACTTCATTCCAAAAGCAGTCTAGGTTGAAATGCAGAAACAAACTGTTAGATCAGGACTGAAATCCTTAGAGACATTAGAACATTTCAGAGGTGTGAAGCAACACTCCACATCACTTCAAAATGAATAGGCGGGTTAGACTGTGAATGGGCAGTCGTGTGTAAATGTATTCATGGTTGTGACATCATAACCATCAAGAACTCAAAATGGGCTTTGCAGCTTAGTTCCCTTATATGGACTGTATGGACTGGAGAGTGAAAGTCATGATATGTCTATGATATGATACAAGCCCTTCAATATCTTTCTGCTATTACGTCTCCCACACAAAGCTTACAGTGTCCCTGCGCTGACCCCAGCCTTAGGCTAAACCAGTTCTTCAGCCAAAACAAAATCTTCCTGGTTAACATCCGTGAGAAAGAGGAATGGAAAGGTTTTTGCCGTAAAGCTATTGCAGGATTCCTCCAAAGAGAAAACAAAACATGAGTGTGGGTAGAACAGAAAGTGGAAGGTTTGGCTTCTTGAATTGTATCTAGAATATTCTGCCCAGAGAAAATAGAGAGAAAGAGAGAGAGAGAGAGAGATACAGAGGGAGATTGAGAGAGAGACAGAGAGAGGGGGGGTTTAGGGGTTTTAGGAAAGGGACTGTGAAACACATTGTTCTGCATGTGACAGACACAGTCATTGCTTATTTGATAAGCTCTGAGAGCTGCAGGCAATACTGATATGTAGGGATGACATCAATATATCCCGGTTCATCCATGCCTGTCAGCATTCTTAATAGAGAGGAGGAATTTTCTTTATAGCTCAAAAACACACACACACACTCAAACACGCACACACACCGCACACATACACACTGCATATGGTATCTGCCCCTGTAATTTTAGTAGAAATAAAGGAGGGGAAATTACACAAGTGATATAGAAGAAAGGACAGAAATGCTGTATCACATGCATGCACACACACAGGTTTGTTTTTATACAGTGTCAGGAAATGGGGTTGTACATACAACTGTTTTTGTATATGTAAGTATTTATATGTAATAATATAATTATATTGTGACTTTCAGAACAAAACCTTGTATCTCCATTTTTACCTTTCTATTTTTTTACATAATTTGAAAATTCCGGCTACTCTTTACATTGTATAAAAAAGTCATGATGAATGGACCAATACAAATAGTCTAAAATTACCTGGAATAGAATATTGACATAACAATACCATAAATATGACAGGGCAGAGGTCATTTGACATCATGAGTTGTCATTTTGTTTAGCAATATAACCGTGTTATCATTACCAGTAAATAATGTAATGGGAGAATGTTTGATGTCATGACAGACTAACTAGAGCACACAGCAAAAATTAGGATGTGACATAATCTGTCATAATATCAAAAATGATAACCTCTGTCATTTAATATAGGTGTAATAGTTAGGTGTCCACATACTTTTGGCCACATAGTGTATCTTATAGCTGTGCATATATGTAAGAAGGCTAATGTTGGCTTCTTATTTGCCAGCCTCTTTTCTGAAACTTCCATTCTGTAAGGCACATGAATGTAACTGCTGCACCATTTAAGGTGGAATGGAAAATTCTAAGAAAGTGCTGATTAAGAAGCCAGCTTCCTAGCCTATAATATGTACGCATTTATTATTTTTTATGGCAATTTTGGTACCCATTTTTATTAGTTTTTGTAAAGTCTAGGCATGCGGGTATGCATGAATCAAACACCAAAGAGCTCCCTTAGTGCTGCTCACTTCTACCATAAAAGGTTCTGTCATAACACGCTGCTGTTTCTGTCTGAGACAGTGCTGAACCAGCAGTCCTGCTTAGCAAACACTATATCACTGTTACTACACTTTTTTTCAGGAAGTCAATTTTAGCTCTACTCCATCGTTTAGATATTGAAAACACAGGATATCAGCTAATGGCATCAGCTGAGATAACACTGAGCGTTTTCAATAATGGCTCTTTGCTGATGGAGAATGGGAACTCTATTGAATACACGTTCAGAGAAAAGAAGCAGTCTGAGAGAAAATGAAAAGAGATGAAGCCACAGAGACATGCGAGAGGTGAGAAGAAAAAAAATGTCCCAGCAATGAATAATGAAAGCAGAAAAGAGCTTTAATGTTGCATTCACTCGCTCATCTCTCTCTCCCCTGGCTCCCTCCTCACGTCAGATTAAAAGTTCCAGTTATATTTGTTGTCATAACTCAGATTTGCTTTCAGCAGCAGGGTAAGGGAGTGGACATTATGCTGCAGAGGATCTACATAGGACTCCACCAAACCACAACAATCACATCCTTTTGCCTCAAAACTGTTCTTTGCATTATGACATCAGAAAGATACAGAGCTGAAAGCCACCTTAAAGCTGATGCAAGGTTTGCCTTTATTACTTTTGTGTTAACTTTTCATTATTTTCATTTATTGCAGTTTGAATCTCTCTAGAACACTTACTTTACCTGAGGATCTAATCAACATGTGGAAATTATATATGGCATTCAACATGTATAGGTTGTGTAAGTTTTCAGAATAAGTAAGTGTGTGTGTGTAAGTGTTCAGCATGTGTAAGATGTATTTTTGTAAATATTTAGTATGTAGAAGTATTCAACATGTATAAGTATATAGTATAAATAGCTTATGTATGAGCATTCAGTATGTATACATTGTCTATGTATAAGTATTCAGCATGTTTAAGTGGAACAGGCATTCAGTGCCTGTAAGTTGTATATGTGTAAGTATTCGACATGTATAATTAGTATAAACAGTATATGCATAACTATTTAACTTGTATAAGTAGCATAAATAGCTTATGTATGAGTATTCAGTATGTATAAGTTGTATATGTGTAAGTATTTAGCATGTATAAGTTGTATAAGTACTCAACATGGATAAATCCCATATGTGTAAGTATTTACTATGTAGAAGTTGTGTAAGTATTTAGCATGTAGAAGTTGCATATAGTCACTGGCAGAACAGACCTTGTATCTCTGAAATGGTAACTTTAAAAGGGAGGGAAAAAAAAAAAACACTTTTAACTTGGAATGAAAAGTCAATGTTAAAAGGTTTTATTCCAAGTTTTTTCAGAACATTTCTGCTGGCCCATTCACACAATGTAAAGTCCAAAGGGCATTTTTTAAATCAAGTAAAAAGCGAAAATGACAAAAAATGGAGGTTTTGTCCCAACAGCGACGATATGTATATGCTTTCAGCTTGTATAAGCTGTATATAAGTGTTTTACATTTAAGTATTCTATTCTATTCTATTCTATTCTATATATAAGTATTGGATACGTATAATTAATAGAAGTAGCATATGTGTACATATTCATCTAAACCTCAAAGCATGAAGCATCCAAATACATTACTCTACAGTTAAGTGCATATGCCCATTCTCTCTAGACTCTCCTGGTCAGTATCAGTGCAAATGAATACAAATAGTGTACCTGTATGCAGTGAAAGAGTATTGGCTTGTTGTTTGTGCCATGGTGTCTATTACTGTAAGTTCATAATAAGCAGAAATCCTCTTGATACAGCATACTGATGTATGTATGAGTGCTAAATAGGATAGATCAAAATAACATCATTGTCTTATATGAAGTTATTACAGGCTGCTATCTTTTTACTGTTGTTCTGAAATATTAAAGTGCATGAATGAAGACATTTTTGGAAGCTTTGCCTCAAAACACTCCAACACAGACTTCTAAAAACACTACAGTGTACATTAAACAATGGTTTTGTTTGTGGGCTTTGACCATTTCTTGCATTACAGTTCCCTGAGAGGCTCTTTTGGATCTCAGCTTTGTTTGTTATTAGTTTGTGGGTAAAAAACATAACTGGGGCACCAAGATTTTATAAACATACACGGTACATAAAAACAGCATCAGTACATTTTGTGCTGACTCGACTGCTTGTGTTCTCACACAGTTTCTTCTCACAGCATTTTGCATGTTGTGGTGTAAAGAAATACAAACAGTTTTTAGGTCATAGCATATCACCATACATGAATGCACAATGATATCGGTCAGGAAAAGAAAAAAATGTTCTCACTTGTCTCAATTTGTCCTAAATCTAAATGCAAGAATGAGATGAGCTTTGGGAGATGTTTGTATTATCATTTTCTCAAGGGAACAAAAACGTAATAGCTTAAAAAGCACAAAGACGCTTTCTGGAGGAAAACAGGACAAGAGACAGAGTGAAAACAATGTAACTGCACTGCACATGTATGCAGGCCTGTGATGTGTGTGGTTGATTGTATATGTGTGTGTGTTTGTGTATGTGTTTAAATACTGGGTTTAAGAATGGCCACATTATGCATTATGCATGAGACATTTCAGACCGTTCACGTTCAAGTTTTGTTTGAAGGCCATTCTACCTGCAATTCCCCTCCCAACCACAGGGGCCACTGCAGCTACAGTCTATAAACTCACCAAGGTCCTTAGAGCTGTGAGTCTCGCTGGCCAGTTCGCCCATCCGCACCAGAGCGTCGAAGTAGCCTTTTGCTGCAAATGTCACACCTGAAAACATGGAAGCATTCGGGTCATCAGAGACGGGAATGTTCTAGAACTTTCCGACCCCCGGAGCATCCCTCAACCCATGGCTTCCGTAATCTATGACAACAGGTGTGGTGGTGGGAAAACTTAAAGATTTGTGTTCTATGATGGCTCTGAAGGAGAGTGTGGGAGGGGAGTGGCTTGGGATCGGGGAGCAATGAATAAAAGCAGAATCTCCTCAATAAATCCAAAAAAACAGGCGCTTTTCAGCCTATCCAGGAATCTGAAATGCCAAACTGTGGCCTTTCACAATCCGTGGCCTCATCGTCTGATCCGAAATCAGACAAAGAGCTTTTCTGATTCTGCCTAGGGTGGCACAGCAGGGAATGCTATGCCTCACCTGCCTCACTAATGCAGAAAGCAGCTCATCTTAAAGGAGCCTGGACCAAAAAAAGAAAGAGCCAGAAAGGTTCTTAAAGGGTTAGCAAATTTTTACATGCTAAGCAGTTCTTAGCAAAAGGTGAGTGATCTTCCCTAAAAGCTATTAAATTAATCATATTAAGCCCAGAGAAACATCAGCAGCGTATCATTTTAATCCAGTCCACATGATGCGTAAATGCGCAAATGTTAGCATGCCAAGCAATTGTTAACACAAGGCACAAAATCTGCCTTAATTGTCATTAAATCATAAATAAAAATCCCAGAAAGTCATCAAAAGTGCATAACTTGAATAAATTCAAGCCATTAAACTCAGACTCCACCAAGAAGTTGGCAACGTCACCAATGAAAGCTTCTACAATGCATGGCCCAGCGTAATCTGCAATGCAATGAAATGGTAAGCAGAAGTGGTGGATGTACTGCATGTAAGCCCCTGCATCAGCAACCAGCCAGGTACGACTGCACAGACTCAGGGAGCAATGTGTCCTGGTTCAGGGGAGATTAGGGGCTGAAATCTGGGGGCTTTGCTGCTCCAGTGCCCTGAGGGAGACCGGCTATGCAGTGAAGAGGAAGTGGGAGAGTGAGGGAAGGGGGCTCTGGAGAAAAGAAGATTACTGGAGCATGAAGAACAGAGCTTACAGACGAGAGACACACCCTCGCCAAGAGGAAATGAAACATACACTGATTAGTTGCAAGGGTTAACTCCTTACTCTAAAGGACCTGTCAGCAGGTCCAGACTTTAATTAGCTTCACAGCAGTTGCTGGATAATAAAATTTAACCTCCATCATACTCTATTATGTGAAATGATTTAAGCTACTGTAGACTCATTTCCCTCTTAAACACAGATCTTAAAATAGCCCTTCTTCCGATCTTTTTCTTACTCTTACTAGTTTTTCTGTTTCCACTCTTGCTCAGTTTCTAGCTCAAGCTACTCTCGCTGTAAGCACTTTCTTTGCAGCACTTTTAGAGAGCCAGATGCAGAAGCACACAAACTTCAGACAACTCAAGCAACCAGCTCCTATGTTATGGTAGGAAAGCAGTTTATTTTCAGCAGTAGAGACCCAATATCTGACACAATGTCATGTTTTCCATGATTTGAAGCAGTAGTTTCCCCTGGAGTTCTCCTGTCCTGAACATGTTAGTGTTTTTTCTGCTCTAATACAGCCAATCAGCTCAGAAAGGGTTTTGTGTATTATCTGATAAGTTGAATTAAGTGCATTAGAGCAAAGAAAATAGTCACCAGATTGAAAAAAGTCTGTGAAGTTCACAGCATCACATATTTAAAGGTTGGTTAAGAGTTTTCTTTGGAGCATTCGGTATCTAGTAGCTGAGACACATCGCTTGTTTGCAGGTACATAGCACATTGCTTCACACACACACACAACACACACACATTATATTAATATATATATATATATAATATTATATATATATATATATATAAATATATGAATTTTGGCAGCTGTTTGGAGAATCATCTATCCCTACACATTAAGCAATTTGTGGTTGGCTATTTTGTATGTCAGTCAAACGGCCTTTCCTGACTATTTTGCTTTCCTGTCAAAGTCAACACACCAGGCTTGCGCAGCTTCACCATAGCTGATGAGACCAGCTGTGTATACACAGTGGTCATCAACCATGGAATTGGAGATGTGTCTTCCTGAAGAATTCAGGTCCAACTGTAAAGTCTAAGCACATCAATCCAAAGTTCTCCAATAAACACCAACGAACCCAAACGTTTGTTTCTGTGTGCCATACCTGTGTGCACTTATCGGGAAACTCTAGAATGTTCTCCTCACATTCATACTGTTCTACAGTCATGACTGTTCACACTGTTAGAATGTTCTCCTCATTTCCACTGTTCTAGAATGTCTTCTCCATTCCCACTGTTGAAAAATGTTCTTCCCCATTCATTCTGTTCTAGAATATTCTCGTCCCATTCCCATTCACATTGTTCTAGAATGTTCTTTTCAATTCTCACTGCTCTCCCATTGACATGGGTTCATTTTGGTTGTCGATTTTATTCTGGAACAGTATAAAACCAACCAATGTTGGAGTTTGTTGAATCAGAACATATTTGATCAGGTCTACTTGATTAACTGGATCAGATGCATTAGATTTGGGCTGGAACTGCAGGAAGGCAGATCCCCCAGGGACAGGGTTGGTGACCACTGTGCTGAACTACTATCCTGGACAGCACATTGCTCACTGATTATTAAAAGAAAAGCTTTTCATTTGCCGTAATCTCATTTGGACTTGCCGGTAGCTGGTTTATAAGAAACGTTTCTTTCCAAAATGTCCTGAAGGCTCCAACCTATATTACTCAATATTGCACTGGTAAGGGTTTCCAGCCTGCAGCCTGAGAGAACTGGTGTATTTACTATCCCACCGAATACCCGCGCAGTCTGCCTATGATAGGTTCTCCAACCCACTGTGGCAGCAGCCCAGGCAGGCTGGCAATGATGGAAAGTAATTCCCACTGTGGGAGTTGGGACTATTTTTAACCTTATCTAACAGGCTGCATGGGTATGTATGTGGGTGCATACACTCACTCACACGCTTACACACTCACACACTCACTCCCTGCAGAGTTTTGGTTTCTTCTGTGTTTTTTCTGCTGCATAAACAGAGAGACAAACTTACCCTGCCAAGTGCAGTATAGACCCAAACTTAACCCTGTCCATGGTCCTGAAGTGGCCACAGCCATAACCAAGTGCTACTACCATTGACTATGATTCCACAGAGTCCGTTGTTAGCCACACTAGTAATTACTGCAAGCTTTTCTGAACAATCAAGGGTTTCTTTCTACTGAAAGAGCAACACACACTGGTCAGAGATGGTTTTATTTTTTGCTATTGTCATGGTTGTTCATCTGGAAGAATGTTAGTCTAATACAGGGGTGTCCAATCTAATCCACAAAGGGCCAGTGTGGCTGCAAGTTTTCATTCCAACAAAACAGGAGATCACCTGATCAGCATTTTGAAGACTGAAACCAACTGCTTAAACAAAGGTGTGCTCCAGCTTGTTTTGAGGGAAAACCCTGCAGCCACAAAGGCCCTTCATGGATAAGACTGGACACCCCTGGTCTAATAGAACTACTTGTGCTATACGTTAGTATTATGTGATGCCAGAAAGTCAAGCTCATCTTTGTACTCCTTGCAGGTTTGGACCATTCTTGTCCTGGATACTTTTCTGTGCTTTTCCCTCTTCTCTCCCCCCTCCCTCTGTGGGACTGTGCTAACTCTCACAACTCACCCTGGCCTATTTCTGCCTGCCCCGTGTTCCACTTTCTGCATTCCCTGCTTCCCTGCACGCATTTTGGCAATGACTCTTCTGCGTACATCAAGGCTATGACTCACACGCACACGTCACTGCTATGACCGCAACTCCATATATGTTGGCTATGACCGCACTCCATATACTTCCACAAGGCTCCCAACATCACCTCCATATATTTCTGCAGGCAACTTTGTAAAAACATATATTTACGCTCACACAAACCAAAACAAAAACACAAACACGTATAAAAGTGTCCCTAAGACCGACGGAACATTTGGCGAAGCGGGCCATGCATGGGTGAGAGATGACAGGGAGTGCGGATGGGTTCTAACAAATAACATTTTATCACAACATCACTGCTAGAGAGAGAGAGGAAGCCAACATCCCCACACACAATTACATATATTTCAACATACAGTACATTTAAGAGACATAACAGTTTAAAATTATATGTTTTAGTAAGCAAGAGAAAAACAAAAAAAAATGTTAGTTGTTGTAGAACGTCGTCTGTGGAGCCCCGTCCAATACACTTAAAACCCTGCAGACTGTCAAGAATGTAGCAAACACCCCTATATAAATCCCCATCACTAAACCTGAGACTGATGGGGCCTGCTGAACTGCCTGGGAGAGTAAGCAAGTGAGAACTTAGACGACAGAAAAAGTGGCTGCTGTACTCACTGGAGAGAGCCTTCTCATACGTCTTCGCCATCGACACAAAGTTCCTCAAGCAGGGGTTAAACTGCTCCATGATGGACTGAAACAGAAACAAGACTTTTGATTACTACACAGGCAAAAGAAAACCATACACAGCCTGACAGTCACTGACCTGAACAACTTCAGACTCAATGCCATTTAGACCAGCTCTTTGTCTCTATAGAAATGGATTTTTTTCATTTAAGTTCACAGTGAGAGTGTACCTATATACAATAATAATATATCTCATATGTATTATACATTTATGTATTATGTACTAAGGCTGTTCACACCGCAAAGCCTTCAGGAGGTCTTCACTGGAAACATCAAGTGTGCGTTTGATGCAACACATTAAAAACAGAAACAGGGCGTCTGTCAGAAATGGGGAGTCCATTAAAAATGAAGTGTCTGTCAAAAACAGGGCATTGTATCACACCGCATCATGCTCTGGCGCTCACGGCTTCATTGATTACAATGGGAGCATTTTGGTTTTGTCATTGACGTTCGCTCACATCACTTGCTCTCAAGTCAAGGTGTAAGTCCAACCTAATCCTGACCTTAAACTTAGTAACCAAAAAAAATGGTTTTATCCTTTCAGTTAAACAGAAATGAACTATGAAGCTGTTGTAAAAAGCACTCCTTGAAGTCAGGACCATTTTGTTGTTCCTGGTTTTTTTAAGTCAGCTCTGAGTTTCTCTAGTTTTCCTCAAAGGTCACAACATTTTTGTCCTTAATATGTATATAACCAAACAAACACATTCACTCAAATACTAACAAGCCAGAGTCTTTGACAAAACAAAAATATCCAAAGTTGTGGTGGTGTTGTGGTCATTCAGTGGCTACATAAACACAGAAACAGCTAAAGTGATGACTCACAGTATGTCAGCAATACTCACACCAGCCAGATGTCAAAAATAAAACTCCTCAAATTGTCCAGCTGCTCCATTTCCACTGAAAGTGTCTAGACTACCAATCAACAGATGTTGAAAGAATGTAAAAAATCAGAACAACCAGTGGATCTTTGGCTATAAGAAGGTCAACATAAAGGTCAAATAAGAGAAAAATGGATAAGTCTTAGTTTGAAGAAGGAATTTTATATGAGATACTATGTAATATGATATCAGAAATAGGAGAGAAAGGTATAGGGCAACTAAAGCCCTGTCATTAAATAGACGTGTTTACATCAGAACATATTTTGCAAACATCTATTTCTATACAGGTCTTCACTGATTCACATAACCAAGATCCAAGAACTGGTCCAAATGGGCTTGAGTCTGAATTTCAGGTATGTGTCAGATAAGGGCATAAAAATACATCAGTGCATGTGATGCACTGATCTGCATTGACTCTGGAATGGTAGAGTTATTATTATAATATATCATAATCACATTCAAATGCTAGGACTATTTTCAAACTAGTCCTAAAAAGTAAAAGAAAAACATTGGTATATTGTTTTAATTGTTTAATATTCCACTAACATGTAAATAGTTCTGCACAGTGTTCCTCATTTTGTATATCCAGTCTTTTTTTATTTCACTATGCACTGAATTGTTCCTTAAAGAATCATATAATTGAATCAAATCATTGCCAGAGATCTACATCTCATGTACCAGTGAACGCTTCACCAAAATCTAACATGGTTTGTATCTGTAGAACTGTAGAGCTCTAGAATTTAGGTCATTAAAATCTGTGATGAATCAAACACACAGACAGGGTCACCCCCATCCCCTTGCACTCGGCCAAGCCAGGGCTGCTGGGCAGTGGGTTGAGGAGGCGCAGGAGTGTGTGGTGAACTACATTCTTACACTGACTCACACACACACCCACACTCACAGCTGCCCTTTACATTCCATTTGTTCACTCTTAAGAACCCCTTCGTGATTGAAAACACCCTCTACACTCTAATCAGAATAAATCTCACTCTGCTCACACAGTGAAGTGTAACCTTTTCCCCACCTTGTCCTCATTTTGTGGGCTTTTTACCGCAGCCTAAGAAGAAATATGGGGCACGAGAAAAGAGGGCCCTGGATGCTTTTAAGCAGAGGAATTCAGGACAAGGAGCAGAGCAAAGCCACTGAAAGGGAAAGAGCTTTGACCAAGCAGCGAGATAATAAAGTGTTACGCAATACAATTACACCACTGACCACAAAAAAGAAAAGGGTAATGAGAGTGTGGTTTGAATATGAAGACTCCACTTCAGGTTTTATGAGGAGCGGAGTTGCTTGTGTACTTAATTAGGGCCAAAAACAACAGATTTCTTGGGAATAGTTGAGTGCCTCCTACTGTTCTGTGGAAAACAGGACTCTTGTAAGGAAAAATTAAACAGAGCAACTCAATCTTTTGTCTTACAGGCTGTGCTGCAGTGTTACCAAGCAGACCATGCATATTCTTAAAAAATAAATGGTCCTAAAACGTTCTTGTTTTGGATCTATGGTTCTATGACAAACCTCTACTTGGTAAAGAATCTTTACATTATACAGAAAAGAAAAAGAAAAGAAACATTTACCAATGTGTATGGAGCTCACTAATGCATTCATAAAACATTAAAAATGACCATCTTAGAAGGTAAAAACATCACAGACATCTAACATCTCACATATGCAAGTGATGACCACCATGCTCTTAAATGGTTCTGGGCTTGGAGGAACAGTTCTAGGAAAAAAACATTAGCTGGCATAGAGCTTTTATGTAATGTGGATGTTCTTTAATCTTTGAAAAGTTCTTCTGTTTAACAAAAATGTTTTTTTTAAAGAAACCATTAAAATGTTCTTTAGGACACCAAAAGTGGTTGGTCACCAACCCCACTCCTGAAGATCTGTCTTTTTGCAGGTTTCACCTCTGACCCAGACCTAACACACCTCGTTCAGATAATCAAGGACTTCTGAAGGCAATAATTAGATGGATCATGTGGGGCCAATTAGGGTCGGAGCTAAAGTCTACAGGAAGGTGAATTTCCAGTAGCAGGGTTGCTGACCACTGCTCTAAGGTGTCCCTTTTGGCATCCTCAGTTTTTTTTAAGAATATAGGGGGGAAAAAATGGTGTCTAATCCAAAGAATTTCCAGAAGCTCTTGTTGCCATGGGCACAAAAGCATCCACAGGCCACAAACCAAATCTCCACAAAGAGAGACCAAGCAAAAAGACCATGGCACACAGTCAATACAGATGCCCAGCTGAAACCATTAAAGAAGTAGGAATGTAGCACTTCAACATGCGTCTCTAAGTAATGTAGAACTCTCCCTCGCTCTCGTTCTGCCTGCCATTCCTTATGTAATCCACCGGCCACTTCACGAAGAGACTCAGCTGAGGCCTTCCAGCTGCGCTAATCAGCCTGACAACACCAGCTGCAGGCAGCCAAGTGCAGGAGCACAAACAAACATATAAATAAGCAAAGCGGCCGAGAAGCAAATAGAGGCGTGAAGGTGGAGAGAGGCGGAGAGAGAGGGGAAGAAATCCAGGATTTGGCACAGCAGAAGCACAGCTGATGAACAGAGCCTGAGAGAAGCAGGGTTATGTAATTAAAGTCAGACAATGCTCCCCCTGCCACTTTTCCAAAGATGAAAAAAAGAGTGATCCAAAATGTACACCAACAGTTACACTTCATACTGTCAGTTGACATATCATATAAAGTATGCTTTTCACACTTTATAGCAAAAATTCAAAGAGCAGGCCTGCAAAATCAGCCTGTTTTAAACTGTCAGGAACTGTGCAGCTACATTTTTCGTTCATCAAGGTACAATGTAAATGTACCCTCAAAGGTACAACAGTGTTTCAAGGTCCAATGGTGTACCTATATAATGAGTTTTTACCAGGAGAAAGATACATCTTTGCCCCTTTTCATAACCTACTGTTTTAAAACAGAACAATAAAATAAAAAGCCTGGAGATGAGACGGGGTGTGTGGAGTCATAACAACATTAAAAAATCAAATAATAATATAATTACAATAGATTATGTTCCCCAACTAAAGGTACTAACCATTGATGGTACTATACAGTGACAATTTAGTACTTTTTTACCTTTAATTGTCATCAAAAATCTTTATTCAAGAGGATTTCCACCAGTTTTTTATTACATTACTGTATAACTGAATCACTGAGATGTAAACAAAGTCATGCAGAGTGGTTTGATTTGAAATGGACCATTATAGAAATTGGAAGAGGGGGTGTCTACACCACAAATATTGCCATTTTATTTACTGTCCAAGCAACCAGTGAACCCTACCCACGTCTTCTGAAATGTCATTTTGCTGTGATGTGATGTTGTTAATAGCAAAATACAAGTATCAAAAAACTGTATTTTCTATGGGTGCTGTTTTGCCTTAACGCCCAACTGCTATGAAAGTGACTAAAACCAATTAAATCTATACAGTAGTCTGAGCGTATAATCATTCCCATTAAAACTCCTTTCCATTTCCTAAACAATCCATCAGTTTGCAACTAAAAAATAAAAAAAAAGACAGCAAACAAACCTGCGTAGCTGGCGGCTTGAAATAAAGTGGATCTTGATTACACTAATGACAGCTTACCGCACAAACGTTCATCACTGCACTGCAGTCATATCCATCAGGAAATAATTAATGGAGAGTAAGTAACAGGCGTGATTTGAGATTAATTTGTGTTCTGCCAGAGAGGAGAGTTTGATACTTAATGACTTGGGAAGGATTCAGGTTCCTTACTAAATTAAACCTTCATGTTCATGACAGCATACTGGTGTTTTAGGCCACATGGAGGCAAGTTGGTTCAACTTGCCAGTCAAGTAGGAATGGACATGTGGAGTCAGTGTAAACATCCTTGATTGTGTTTCTGGACGTTCAGCAATGTTAAGCGTATTCGCTGAGGGTTTTATGACTGGTTTGTTTAGCTTTCAGGGAAGAAAATATTAGGTCTGACTATAATAACAACATGCTAAAATAAGAATAAAACAATCAGATAATTAAGTTAATTACTACAAACTTTGCAGCTACTCTATTTGAGAACTTCACTATATTTTACAATCCAGCTGCAGTATTTTCAAAGGTATAACTAAAGTTTACAGGGATTACTTTGCTGTTGTTCTAAAATG